GTGTGCTCTTCCGATCTTAATATCGATTAATTTACAGTAAATGACATATTATTTTATGTTACGTTATAATTTATAACGTTTAACTGTTTAAATTGCTAATTAAAATTCTCATTACCTGAAAGTTGACTATTTTCAAAGCGAATTTGTCGTAGCTGTGCTCCCTCAGGTACAGCATTACTTCCTCCTCGCTCTTGCCCATGCTAACCAGCTGCCTAACGCTAGCGCCAGCCGTGTCGCTCTTGCCCTTCTCCAGGGAATGCATCTTCAGACTGCCCAGATTCACGACGATCAGCGCCTTCGAGTCCTCGTAGAAGCCGCCGTGCGGTATGATGAGCTGCGACGCCTGCATATCCACTTGTATGTCCAACACCGAATGCTTCTCTATGGCGTACTCCAAGCCGAGCGCCGACATCTCCTTAAGGCCCTCAAACTGCTCCGCCGCGGCCATTTGCAGTTGGCTTAGCGTCGAAGAGTCTTGCACCTGGAAAACGTTCATTCACGTCAAAAAAAAAAAACGGCTCGCAAGAATAAAAAAATTATAATCAGATAAATTCGCGGAAAATTCTAATCTAGTTGATTCAGAAAAATTTTCTCATTTCAAAATTTTCCACGCAATCCAATCTCGAATTCTCGTGAATTTAAGAAGATGAAGTACCTTGAACATGTTGACCAGCTCTATGATGGTTTGCGCGTCGTAGATGATGTCGACGGAGCGGGACTTGACGATCACACGATCGCCGCACAGCCGGTCGAGTGGATTCTTCTCGTAGGAGACCGACAGCAGGGCGCTGTCGGAGCTGCCGCGTTCCGGATTGAAGAGCGAGGGCACGCGGCCGCGCTGCGTCGCGCCCAGCAGCTTCATGTCGCTGATAGAGGCGGTGACGAGGATCGCGTTCGCGGACGGCCGCGACTTGAAGCCCGCCCGCACGCCGTGCAGCTGCAGGTCCAGGATGCACGGGTGCTCCTTGTCCGTGTCCAGCAGAGAGATCTGCAGACCGTGCAGGAGGAAACGCGTGTCCATCATCTCGAACGTCTCCGGGAAATGCGCGGGCGCGCTGTTCTCCTGATAGTCGATCGCCCGGTAGAGCTTCTCCTTCTCCTGCGGCGTCATCGCCTCCTCGAATCTAAGCATCAATATTGTTAACACTACATTATTTTCGTTTGAAAATCAATTTTATAGAGTAGCTGAAGTGCTTAGGAACCTTTAAAGTATTCAAAACATCCTAAAACTATCTAAAAATTCGACTTATTTGAAGCGTTTGACAACAAACCGGCGCATGATGGCCGCGGCCGAGTTGAGATCCTTCGTCTCCTCGACCTGCGAGCTGTTCCACAGGAAACCGAACCAGCCACGCTGCGCCTTCAGGCTCTTCTCCCGCTCCGCCAGTCTCTCCACCTCCATCTCGATCTGCTGCCGGATTATGACCAGGTTGAAGATGTCCAGCTTCGTCTCGCAGTCCGTCAGTCGTTCGTTGATATCTTTCGCCAGCTTCCTCGCCGTCAGCTTCGTCTGATAGGCCTCGGCGTAGGCGCGGCAGGTGTCGCGGTGCAGCTTCATGTGGTCCCAGTTCCAGTTGCGACGGCACCGTCGCACGGTCTCCTCGAGGACGCAGGTGTACGCGAAGTGCCACCACTCCTTGTAGTGACCGCGATACGACGTCAAATTCGGCCGGTACTTCCGGTACGGCGCGGCCTTCCGCGCCTGATCCAAGCCCTCACCCAACCGCACCAGAGTCTGGTACTGACGCTTCGTTAAGCCAATCCGTAATTTCTGCATCTCCAGGTCCAGCCACACCTGCAAAAAGAAAACGCAACACATAAAATGATTCAATTTACAATAATAAGTTAAACCAGATCGCTAGTAAACACTGAGAGCAAGATATTTTATTAAATTTATAATAA